TTCAGGCTGCTGAGCTGGCAACGAGAATTTCAAGCCAGTGGATCTTAGCTTGCTGGGCTCCATGGCGGTAAAACCCGCTGAACAAGACCACTTGGTTTCCTGGCTTCAGTCTCCTTTCCAGGGGAGTGAACGGTTCTGTCTTGTTGACATTTCAGATGCCACTGGGGTACAAAAAAAAAAAAAAAAAAAAAAAAACTCCTGCAGCTAGCTCAGGGTCTGCCCAAATAGCTGCCCAGTTTTGTGCTTGAAACCCAGGGCCCTGGTGGTCTAGGAACCTGAGGGAACCTCCCAGTCTGTGGGTTGCAAAGACCATGGGCAAAGCATAGTATCTGGGTTGCATAGCACAGTTTCTCAGGGCACAGTCCCTCATGGCTTCCCTTGGCTAGTGGAGGGAAGTCCTCAGCCCCTTGTGCTTCCTGGGTGAGGTGGTGCTCCACCCTGCTTCTGCTGGCCCTCCATGGGCTCCACCCATTGTCTAACCAGTCCCAATGAGATGAACAGGGTACCTCAGTTGGAAATGCAGAAATTACCTGCCTTCTACATTGGTCTTGCTGGGAGCTGCAGACTGGAGCTGTTCCTATTCAGCCATCTTGAAACTCCCATTTTTAAAACCATCAGATCTCATGAGACGTATTCACTATCACGAGAACAGCATGGGAAAGACCTGTCCCATGATTATTCAAGTATCTCCTACTTGGTCCCTCCCAGAACATGTAGAAATTCAAAATAAGATTTTGGTGGGAATACAGCCAAATCATATCAGCAATACCATTCTAGTCATAGGAATGGGCAAAGATTTCATGACAAAGATGCCAAAAGCAATTGCAACAAAGCAAAAATTGGCAAGTGGGATCTAATTAAACTAAAGAGCTTCTGCACAGCAAAAGAAACTATCAACAGAGTAAACAGACAACCTACAAATGGAAGAAAATTTTGCAATGTATTTATCTGACAAAGGTCTAACACACAGAATCCACAAAGAACTTAAACAAATTTGTAAGAAAAAAAGAAGCAATCCCATTAAAAAGTGGGCAAAGGACATGAACAGAAAGTTTTCAAAAGATGACATACATGCAGTGGCCAACAAGCATATGAAAAAAAGCTCAACATCATTATTATTACAGAAATAAAAATCAAAACCACAATGAGATACTATCTTACACCAGTCAGAATGGCTATTATTAATAAGTCAAAACATAACAGGTGCTACCAAGGTTGCAGAGAAAAATGAATGCTTTCACTGTTGGTGGGAGTGTAAATTAGTTTAACCATTGTGGAAGACAGTATGGTGATTCCTCAAAGACCTAAAAACAGAACTACCATTTGACCCAGCAATCCTATTGCTGGGTATATACTCAAAGGGATATAAATCATTGTATTATAAAGAAACATGCACATCTGTGTTCATTGCAGCACTATTCACAATAGCAAAGACATGGAATCAACCTAAATGCCCATCAATGACAGATTAGATAAAGAAAATGTGGTACATATAATGTAATGTAATACCATGTAATACTATGCAGCCCTAAAAAAGAACAAGACCATGTCTTCTTCAGGAATATGGGTGGAATTGGAATTAATTATCCTTAGCAAACAGAGGAACAGAAAACCAAATATTGCACATTCTCCCATATAAGTGTGAGCTAAATGATGAGAACACATGGACACATAGAGGGGAAACAACAGACACTGGGGCCTACTGTAGGATGGAGGGTGGGAGGAGGGAGAGGATCACGGAAAATAACTAATAAGTACTAGGCTTAAAAGCTGGGTGATAAAAATAATCTGTACAACAAACCCGCATGACACAAGTTTACCTATGTAACAAACCTGCACTTGTACCTCTGAACTTAAAATAAAAGTTAGGAAAAAAAAAGAAAAACAACACTGCTAAAGAGAATTCTTTATATTCTTATATACTTTGTGGGGAGGGGGGGTTGTTTGTTTTTTGTTTCTTTATGTATTTTTAGTTCATAAAATAAAGAAAAAAATACATCCATATATAGGGACTCAGATTGTCATAGTGGAAAGAACAAAACATTAGCATAAGACAGACCTTGTTCAAACTCTGATTTTGTTGGTTACTAGTTAAGTCTTTGGTGATTCTCTTACTTACCTTCTCAGAAACTCAGCTTAGCCACAAATAAAATAATGACAATATATGTTGCTATTGTAAAGCTTAAAAGAAAATGTAGGTAAATATCTGAGTATAGTGTCTGGCCAATAATAGCCTCTCAATAAGTGCTACTTCATGTAGTATCTAATATTCCCCTCCTCTGACCATGCAGATGAAAAACCCCAAACTCTCCTTTGGTTTGCATTGCCTGCTGTTTGAGGGAAATGGAGGAAGACTGGAATCAGTGATGGGACTGGTTGTCTACTTTGCATTAAGGCAGAATAAACATAATTGGCAACTACACTCTGGGCTGTGGGACCTTAGCATGATTAAAAAAATGAACTTGGCTGGCATTCCTTTCCTCCATTTCTCTCATCTCCAAGAAGGTTTGACAAATGTACTGTACACACTAACCAGCGTGGGGGCAGGAGCCACTTGGTAAACAAGGACTGAATGGCTAAACTATCCAGGCTTCATATTATGTGAGGCTAAGTGTCCACTTAGGATGGGCCATGTAAGTGGATGAGCTGGGAAACCAGCAACAAGCAGATGGATCACACTGACACCACGAGACTCCACACAGCACAGTCACAGACATGACATTGTCACAGCAAACCAGATGCTTGAGGGAATGGTTCACACCAGTAGAACTGGAAGGTAAAATTCATGCATGTAATCGAGTTCTTAAAAAGTTGTACTTGGGACTGTTGTGCTTGTAATCCCAGCACTTTGGGAGGTTAAGGTGGGAGGATTGGTTGAGCCAGGAGTTTGAGATCCACACAGGGAAAATAGGGAGACCTAGTCTCTACAAAAATTTTTTTTAATTAGCTGGGCTTGGTGGTACATGCCTGTAGTCCCAGCTACAGAATGTTGAGGTGGGAGAATCACTTGAGCTGGGAAGGTCGATGTTGCAGTGAGCTGTGATCACACAACTGCAGACTGGCCTGGGCAACAGAAAGTGAACCTGAAGAAAGAAAAGAAAACAAAAGAAAGCAAAAGAAAAGAAAAGAAAAGAAAAGAAAAGAAAGAAAGAAAAAAAGAAAAAGAAAGAAAGAAGGAAGGAAGGAAGGAAGGAGGGAAGGAAGGAAGGAAGGAAAGAGAAAGAAAGAAAGGAAGGAAGGAAGGAAGGAAGGAAGGAAGGAAGGAAGGAAGGAAGGAAGGAACCTGTCTTGAAAAAAAAAAAAAAGATTGTGCTTGGGAAAATGCTTATGATATACTATTAAGTAAAAGGGGAGAAAAAGCTTAAAATGCAGTGTATGGATACAGTGTGTACATGCATATATATTTTTTAATTGAGTATAACCCATAAATATTTATATTTAGGATATAATATATACACATTTGATATATATTAATATTATATATTATACAATATATTATATTATGCATTATATAGTACATGTTTATATTCATATGATATAATATGTATATATACATTTATGACATAATACCACATGTATTATAAAAGACAAGAAGGAAGTATGCCAGAAGATTAGCAAAGGTAAACTTGGGGTTGTGAGATCTTGGAGTGATCTATTTTTTTTTAATGCTTTTCTATATTTTCCAAAACTTTCCCAATCATTATGGGTTGTTTTTATACTCAATATTTCATATCTTTCACTTTTCATATCTTGCTGAGACCAGTTCGGTCAGGGACACCCTAACCCAGTGACGCTAGAGGAATTAAAGACTCACACACAGAAATATAGAGGTGTGAAGTGGGAAATCGGGGGTCTCATAGCCTTCAGAGCTGAAAGCCTCAAACAGAGATTTACTCACATATTTATTCACAGCAAGCCAGTCATTAGTATTGTTTCTATAGACATTTAACTAAAAGTATCCCTTATGGGAAACGAAGGGATGGGCCTAATTAAAGGAATAGGTTGGGCTAGTTAACTGCAGCAGGAGCATGTCCTTAAGGCACAGATTGCTCATGCTATTGTTTGTGGCTTAAGAATGCCTTTAAGTGGTTTTCTGCCCTGGGCGGGCCAGGTGTTCCTCGCCCTCGTTCCTGTAAACCCACAACCTTCCAACTTGGGCGTTATGGCCATCATGAACATGTCACAGTGCTGCAGAGATTTTGTTTATGGCCAGTTTTGGGGTCAGTTTATGGTCAGATTTTGGGGGTCTTGTTCCCAACGTGTCCCCCTTCTTTGATTTGCAAATCAATAAATGCAAAGGCAGCTTTTTCATGGTGAGCTACTTCTCGCAGGAGTCAGGATCCACATCTGCAGACCATACAAAGACAAACAACACAGATGAAAAGCACAATCATCATTGAAATTACAGAGCTTCCAAGTGTTTTCATTCATTTTAATGGGTTACTAGCTGCTAACTTGTCTGCAGCTCCTTTAAGCACTCCAGTTCCTGGCATTAAGGTCAGGTGTACCTGGGATGTTTTAAATATTTGTTCTTTTAATTTTGCTATATCCAAAAACAAGTTTGTAGAGTGTCCTTCTAGATGTTTTTCATTCTTTCCCAAATTTTGATCATATTAAGAGCATTTAATAGTTTCCACAAATCCTTATGTTAAGCTCCTAGAGCGGGCCATATCATTTGAGATTGAGGTGCCACTATACTGCCACGGTTCCAGATAATAGGAACTCTTGCCATATTTCTTGCCATTTCTACCATCTGACTGTTCTGTTCAGACCAGCTGAACATAGTGTGGCAATGGCACACAGACTGAAAGGTGCAATTTAAGCTAAACATCCCCTTAGAGGACCAATCAATAGTGATTCCATAGGAATCATTGCATAGCAACTCTGCCTGTTCTGCAATGCAATCTTCCCAAACAAGTATGTTCATTTTTTCTGGCCAGGTTCAATTTTGTTTACAAATAGGTTTTTGAGGGTGGTATGCCTCAATTATAGGAGCAGATTTATTATGGTAAATACTGAGATCAGAAAGCATGTGTAACTGTGTCAGAGTGATTATATCCAGGCATTATTACCAGTCAAGATTGATAAATACACCCAATAAGTATAATTGTTCTCTGTGTCAGCCCTTGTTGAAGGAATACTCACAACTGCTATCATAGCTACCATTAAATTACTCGTTGTGACTGGTTGTCCCGCTTTCCGCAAGTTTTCTTCCACCATCTGTGACAGCTTCTTGATCTGTCCCCAGGTAGGTGGCTGTATTCAACAGGTGTTGCTCGTGACAGTTGGGGTCCTCCTCACCATCAGCCTCAACATGGCTGCAACAAGGGGGTCCTCGGGATCCTCCCGGAGTCTCTTCCTCGACATCTGGCTCACGATAAGGTGTCTCGATGGTACCCAAATCGGCTATTTATTTGGCCTGGAGAAACAGAAGCATAACCTCAACCCCAAGTTATTATTTTACCTATTTTCCAACTTTTTGTTATTGGATCTCTCCACCAAACCAATTGTTCTGCTTCTGTCTTTGTAGCTGGTTTCTGTAGATGCTGTTCAGCTGCTGATAACATCTAGCCTTTGGGCAGGTTCAAAAAATTTAAAGTTAATAATGCTAGATTCAGTTGTATCTGAGGTGTTCCATATTCTCTGTCTCCGCCTTTCTGCTTTTGCAACCGGTGTTTTAGGGAGAGATTCATTCTTTCCACTATGGCTTGTTCTTGAGAATTGTATGGGATACCAGTAATGTGTTTAATATTCCACATAGAGAAAAATGTAGCTAGAGCTCGGCTAGTATAGCCTGGAGCATTATCTGTTTTAATAGAAGTTGGAATGCCCATCACCGCAAAACACTGCAAAAGGTGATGTTTAACACAGGCAGAAGACTCTCTTGATTGGCATGGAGCCCATACAAAGTGAAAAAAGATGTCCACACATACATGTACGTATGCTAGTCTCCCAAACGAGGGAATATGTGTGACATCCATTTGCCAAAGAGAGTTAGGTTCCAATCCTCGAGGATTAACTCCTGTAAAAGATGAGGAATGTACCATTTGGCAAGTTGGGCATCGCTGGATAATAGCTTTAGCTTCTTTCCAGGTAATGCTGTATCTGCGTTTGAGACCAGAGGTATTAACATGGGTTAAATTGTGAAAGTGTCTAGCATTATATATTGCATTAGCAACTAGGCGATCGGCCATTTGATTCCCTTCAGTCAAAGATCCTGGAAGAGGTGTATGAGCCCTAATGTGAGTGATGTAAAAAGGGTGCATTCTGCTTCTAACTGCTGTTTGCAATTGGGTAAATAAAGTCATCAGTTTTTCATCTGTATGAACTCATAACTGAGCATTTTCAATTAACTGTGTGGAATGAACCACGTATGAAGAATCAGAAATCACATTAATAGGCATATTAAAAGCAGTCAATACCTCAATTACAGCTACAAGCTCTGCTTTTTGAGCTGAAGTATAGGGCGTCTGAAAAACTTTACCTTTTGAGCCGAAATAAGAAGCTTTACCATTACTAGACCCATCTGTGAAACAATGAAAACATTTAGCAGGCTGCAGGTTGTTTACTGCAGGAATTGTAAATGCAAACCATTCACAGTCTTGCTCAGCTAAAGGGATAGTAAAGGAACAGTCTTTTAAATCTATGACCATTAAAGGCCAATTTTTTGAAATTATAGCAGGAGAAGGCAATCCTGGCTGCAATGCTCCCACAGGTTTACAACTGAATTGATGGCTCTTAAGTCAGTTGACATTCTCCATTTACCTGATTTTTTCTTAATTAGGAAAACTGTAGAATTCCAAGGGGAAAATGTTGGAACTATGTGGCCATTTTTTAATTGTTCAGTAACTAATTTCTCTAAAGACTCCAGTTTTTCTTTACTTAGCGGCCATTGTTCTATCCAAATTGGCTTATCGGTAAACCATTTTAAAGGTATAGGTTCTGGAAGTTTAACAATGGCCGCCATCAAAAATTATATCCTAATCTTTGGCAGGAACTTTGTCTTTCCACTTGAAGTAGTTTTTCAAACCGTGCAACTTTTTTTCTAGTCCCATAACAGGGACATACCCCATTTCATGCATTGTATGTTGACTTTGAGGGCTATATAATTGTTCTGGAATTAGAATTGTGCTCCCCATTGTTGTAATAAATCTCTTCCCTATAAATTTATAGGTACAGAAGTTATAATTGGTTGAACAGTCCCAGGTGTTGTACATTGGGCCCTTCACAATGCAGAATAAAACTACTTTGATATACTTCGGCAGCTTTACCAACTCCAACCACATTAAATTGAGCGGGTTAAATTGGCCATGTGGATGGCCAGTGCTGTAGAGAAATGGTTGAAATGTCCACTCCTGTATCTACCAAACCTTTACATTTCTTTCCCTGAATAGTTATTTCACAGATGGGACGTTTATCAGTAATTTGATTTACCCAATAAGCTGCTTTGCCTTGTTTATTTGTGCTTCCAAATCCTACTGTTCCTTTAATTTTACTTTTTCCCATTCCCACATACGGCACAATCAGGAGCTGTGCTATGTGCTCTCCTGGCTCTGCTTTCCAGGGAACAGAAGTAGATACAATTTGAATCTCCCCATTGCTATCTGAATCAATGACTCCTATATGTATTTGTACCCCTTTTAAACTTAAACTAGACCTTCCTAAAAGTAATCCTATTGTCCCTGCTAGCAAGGGTCCACAGACTCCTGTTGGGACCTTTTGCGGAGGTTTCCCAGGCAGAAGGCTCACAGCTTTTGTGCAGCATAAATCTACTGTGGCACTACCAGCTGTGGCAGGGAACAGACCGTTGTATGGGGGTGAGGGAATGGCCTGAGCCGGAAATGCCCTGGTTTAGAATGGGGCCCGGGGTGGGCCCCTCATGGCATTTCCCAAAATCAGGTTCCCACCTTTATCAAACTTAGAGTGACACTGATTAGCCCAGTGTTTTCCTTTCTTATGTTTTCAGGATCAGCAGTTTTCTTTTTCCCCCTATCTGGCAGCCTCAATGATTTTTTTCTACATTCTTTTTTAGTATGATCATGCTTCCCACAGTTAAAACAAGCTTCAGGAAACAGAATATTTCCTTTATCCACTCTCAGTACTGCCATTGCCTGTGCCAACAAAGTAGCTTTATGCAGATTACTTCCGATACCATCACAGGCCTTGATATAATCGACTAAATGTGCTTTCCCGAATTTAAAAGGAAAAGGCTCAAATGTAGCTATAATATTTCCCTGTTGATCTGGGGGGTGTATTCTAACAGGGAACTCCCAAGCCTCTAAATCACCCTCTCATCTAGCTTCCTGAATTCCTGCCTGAATAGAACCAAGAGCGGTCGCTCGAGGTGCTGCTCAAACAGTCACTGGGGCAACTACCTTTCTCCCAATGTCCTCTGGAAAAGAAAGATCTGGAGGGTCTTTTTCTTCAAAATAATAAGGAGGGGATGCAGAAGGGTAGGGATGAACCTCTCCTTCCTTTGCCACTTTAGCTTTAGCTGGCAAATAAACCTGCTCTGTAACCTCTTCTGTTACTTCATTACACTGTCCTTCCTCCTCATCATTAGTGTGAAACAGTTTCAAGGTGAAAGAAACTAGACCCCACACTTATCCCATTGTTACCCTGATACTTCTGAGCTCCCCTTCTTACTCACCACGGGGGTTGCTTTAAGGGTACTTAGGTGTCCTCCAGCTAGTTCCATGTTCTCCAACCATCACTCTGGTGACCCTTCGACCTGGATTCGAGCTCCCATGATGGACACCACTTACTGAGACCAGCTCGGTCAAGGAGATCCTAACCCAGTGGCGCTAGAGAAATTAAAGACACACACACAGAAATATAATATGTGAAGTGGGAAATCAGGGGTCTCACAGCCTTCAGAGCTGAGAGCCCTGAACAGAGATTTACCTACATATTTATTCACAGCAAACCAGTCATTAGCGTTGTTTCTATAGATATTAACTAAAAGTATCCCTTATGGGAAACGAAGGGATGGGCCTTATTAAAGGAATAGGTTGGGCTGGTTAACTGCAGCAGGAGCATGTCCTTAAGGCACAGATCACTCATGCTATTGTTTGTGGCTTAAGAATGCCTTTAAGCAGTTTTCTGCCCTGGGCGGGCCAAGTGTTCCTTGCTCTCGTTCCTGTAAACCCACAACCTTCCAGCGTGGGCGTTATGGACATCATGAACATGTCACAGTGCTGCAGAGATTTTGTTTATGGACAGTTTTGGGGCCAGTTTATGGCCAGATTTTGGGGGGCTTGTTCTCAACACTATGTAAGAGTTTCCCAAGATCTCATGGAAATCCAAATCCTGGAAAAAGAATATAACCATCCCAAAGGCTAACAATTAATAAACAAACCAATGAAAACCCCATAAAATTCAGTTTTTGCCAGGAAAAAAAAAATTAAAGTAATTATTCTGATAACTATTAAATAAATAACCCTTAGGCTGCCATTGTTCCTTTCATCTCCCTAGTCACAAGACATGTTGATTTATGGACTTTGGGTTTGGATTTAGATATAGATCTTTAAGATTGTTTCTGGATGAGTCTGAAGATCAAGTTGGCAGAGTAATGATAGATGGAACTCCAACTTATTTTTGTTATGCAGGTAGCTGATACTTTAAATTTAGTCTTTTCTTTTGAATGCAAGTCTCAAGAAGAAGAAAGCAAAGAAATCTTTTCCTAACAAACATTTTGAAATGAGTTTAGAGAAGGTAGGCTCTTATCTGCTTTTAACTTTCTCCTTGAAAGAAACACTGTTTGTACTTAAGGATTTTGTGGGGGGGGGCACCAAATTATTTATGACTTTGTGGGCAGCCTGTGAAAACAGGAATAATGTGTTTAAGTGATACCATCCTACTAGATACAATTAAAATAACGTCTTTTCTTTCCTGCTCAATTGAGCTAGCCAATGGTATTCAATAACTGCAATACCTGAATGAAATTGTTAATTGGAATAACAAGTCTTAAATACTGGTATAAATAGAAATTATTTGTTATATTACAAACTTCAGACCAAATCTATGAAGACTACAGTACTATTCCTTCAACTTTACAGATAAAAAACCAAGTTTATAGAGCTTAAATCGCTTGCTTAAAGCCCATGGCAGGGAAGTAAAACAGTCAGAAGCAAAACAGACAGCCAGGGCCGTCTGCCTGGGAAGCCCATGCCCCTAACCACTGGATTACATAGCTTTACCATTGTCAGCTGCTAGAAGCCAATTTTCCAAAATGGCTTAAGTTGTCAGGTCAAGCTTCCCACCTCTGGGTTTTTCCTCCCTCCCTCTACCATCTTCACTACTGCCCTCCTATGCATGGTGATGATGACCAGGGAAAGTCTAGAATTATTGGAAAGTTTAACTTTCCTTAGGTCAGATGGATTGAGGTCAAAAAATAAATATCTTCTTTAAAGTACGTGTGTTTAGGACAAGATTTTAAATAAGCCAGGAGAAACTTGCTCTTTAAAGTAATACTATAAATAAATCATTCATTTATAGGGCAATGGGTGTGTGTGTGTGTGTGTGTGTGTGTGTGTGTGTGTGTGTTTTAATCCAGGCAAACTTGGATTTCTTGATATTTATTTTGAATAAGTACATAGAATACACCCTACAAAGAACATGCAAGAATTGAGGAGTCAGAAAGTGGAGAATTAAGATTTAAAAAACATATTGGGTTTATCATAAAATTCAGAATACTTTATTTTAAAAGAATAAGTGGAAAGGGAGAAAACTCAGATACTACCTATAAATAAAAAAATAGGAAAGATCCTTTAAAAGTCTTTATACAAAATATGCAAGGAAATTTGAAAAACATTATTATTCTGAAAGGGATGAAGTGAATTATTCTATGTAGACAAATAAACCAGACAGTTATGGTGCACAGTACCTCAAGACAGATATCTAGCCCACTAGTTCAATGACTTTGGGGTAAGTAAGACTGATTGGTTTCTGAGAAGTGGAGATCTGAATTCTAAGAATTCTTAGCATGGAAAACAGGCTGAATGGGTGATTAGTCATGGTTTACTAAATTATGTTAACCTTTCAACTCATAAGTATTTATGAAATGTTTCTGCATAGATGTCACATTAATAAGAATAGTTTCATATAAAGCTCAGATTGATTTGTATTTTAATGTCTTCCTGGATTTTTGTCCATATTTAACAAATATGCATAATCAAACATAAGCACTTTAGACTAGACCAAAATTACTGAATATTTTACTAATAGCTGTGGTTTTTAAAATATTACTCCCCCATAATAAGATGAAAAACTAACAAGTGCAAATACACATTCACATGCTTTGAAAGTCAGTAGGTATATTTACCTTGAATTAATCAGTCTTGGGTTTTGCACATAGCATATTTTATTTTATTTTATTTTATTTTATTTTATTTATTATTATTATTATACTTTAAGTTCTAGGGTACATGTGCATAACGTGCAGGTTTGTTACATATGTATACTTGTGCCATGTTGCTGTGCTGCCACCCCATCAACTCGTCAGCAACCCATCAACCTCGTCATTTAACATCAGGTATAACCCCAGTGCAATCCTCCCCCCCTCCCCTCTCCCCCATGATAAGCCCGGTGTGTGATGTTCCCCTTCCTCCTGAGTCCAAGTGATCTCATTGGTTCAGTTCCCACCTATGATGTGAGAACATGCACGATGTGTTTTGTTTTCTGTTCTTGTGATAGTTTGCTAAGAATGATGGTTTCCAGCTGCATCCATGTCCCTCAAAGGACAACACAAACTCATCCTTTTTTATGGCTGCATGTATTCCATGGTGTATATGTGCCAATTTTCTTAATCCCAGTCTGTCACTGATGGACATTTGGGGTTGATTCCAAGTCTAAATGGCCATACTGCCAAGGTTATTTATAGATTTAATGCCATCCCCCATCAAGCCTACATGATTTCTTCCAGAATTGGAAAAAACTGCTTTAAAGTTCATATGGAACCAAAAAAGAGCCCCATCTCCAAGACAATCCTAAGTCAAAAGAACAAAGCTGAGGCATCACGCTACCGTGACTTCAAACTATACTACAAGGCTACAGTAACCAAAACAGCATGGTACTGGTACCAAAACAAGATATAAGACCAATGGAACAGTAACAGGAGTCGCTTCAAAATAATTAACGACACATCTAACAGCCATCTCGATCTTTGACCAGAACCTGAGGAGCAAACAAGGAAATGGGGAAAGGATTCCTCTATTTATAATATAATGGGTTGCTGGGAGAAAATTGGCTAGCCATAAGTAGAGAAGCTGAAACTGGATCCTTTCCTTACTCCTTATATGAAAATTAATTTCAAGATGGGATTAGAGACTTAAATGTTAGACTAAATACCATAAAAACCCCTAGAGGAAAACCTAGGTAGTACCATTCAGGACATAGCATGGCAAAGACTTCATGTCTAAAAACACCAAAGCAACGGCAGCAAAGCCAAAATTGACAAATGGGATCTAATTAAACTAAAGAGCTTCTAACACAGCAAAAGAAACTACCGTCAGAGTGAACAGGCAACCTACAGAATGGGAGAACATTTTGCAATCTACTCATCTGACAAAGGGTTAATATCCAGAACCTACAAAGAACTCAAACAAATTTACAAGAAAAAAACAAACAACCCCATCAAAAGTGGGCAAAGGATATGAACAGACATTTCTCAAAAGAGACATTCATACAGCCAACAGACACATGAAAAAATGTCATCATCACTGGCCATCAGAGAAAGCAAATCAAAACCACAATGAGATACCATCTCACACCAGTTAGAATGGCGATCATTCCAAAGTCAGAAACAACAGGTGCTGGAGAGGATGTGGAAATAGGAACACTTTTACACTGTTGGTGGGATTGTAAACTAGTTCAACCATTATGGAAAACAGTATGGCGATTCCTCAAGGATCTAGAACTAGATGTACCATATGACCCAGCCTGCCATTACTGGTATATACCAAAGGATTATAAATCATGCTGCTATAAAGACACATGCACACGTATGTTTATTGCGGCACTATTCACAATAGCATATTTTATTAAAGCAAATAGCACCTGAGAGTATTGTAAGCTACCTAAGGGCAAGGACCATGCTGTTTTGTTCACCTAGAAGCTGTGAATTTTAAGAGATGGACTTTAACACTAAACTGCATGTGTCCTGCTGACGTTTTCTAAGAAAGTGCCCTTGGGCAAGTTATTCAATCTCCTCTTGCTTTGGTTCCTGAATCCTGTAACAGATGATGATTACTGAAGTACCCATTCGTAAGAGCGTTGTGAGGGTTCAATGACTGACATGGAAAGCTCTGGGAAAAGGATAGCACAAATAAAGACTAGCTGTTCTTCTTCATGGCTGTATCCACCAGGCTCAGAGTAAATATTTGTTGTCTAAATAAATAAATGACAAAGAATCAATTCCTTTTATTTCTCTTTTGGACTTGTTACTGATACAATAGGTACTCTCAACTGTCAAAAAGTATAAAAACATTATATCTATCAGCAAAAGAAGCCACATTAGGAAAATCACACATCAGCATACAAATTCTACTCATCACAATTGCAATAGTGTTTGTTTCTAATCAGGTATCTTTAATTGATTTTATACATAAGAAAAGCGGTCTGGGCTGGGCATGGTGGCTCACACCTGTAATCCCAGCACTTTGGGAAGCCAAGGGGGACATATTAGTTGATCTCAGGAGTTCGAGACCAGCCTGGTCAACATTGTGAAACCCTGTCTCTACTAAAAATAGAAAAATTAGCCAGGTATGGGGGCATGTGCCTGTAATCTCAGCTACTCGGGAGGCTG